TCATGTGGTCATTTACTAGGACCCAGGAAAAGCAACAGCCTTTAACAACACGTTTAACACCTTGTTCACTGATCATCCACACTCCAGTCTCTATTTGTGGCAAGAAGGAAAACATGGGAACCCTAAGGAAATCAGGCCTAGAAAATTGGGAATGTTCTGGGATGCAGGCAGATTTTAAAAGTTCTTGATTTTCAGGCATAATGCTCAGCGTTGTCAGCTCTTATGAGCAACTATGAGGCTTCCCTAAAGAACTTGGAACACGCTGGGCACAATGGCTCATGCCTGTAATCTCAGCACTTTGGGAAGCTGATGGTCACTTGAGGCCAGGAGTTCAAAACCCCCCTGGGCAACATAGTGAGACCCTGTGTCTATCAAAAATTTAAAAAATTAGCTCGGCATAGTGGTTCACGCCTTAGTCCCAGCTACTTGGGAGGCTGAGGCAGGAGGATCTCTAGAGCTCAGGATTTCGAGGCTCCAGAGAGCTATGATCACGCCACCCTGGGGGAGTCAGAGCAAGACCCTCATAAAAAAACAAATAAATAAAAATAAAATAAAATAAACTTGGAGGAAAAATTACCCTCTTTGAATTACTTCTGAGATCAACATCTAAATGAATTAGAGATATGCAAAGTCACCATATAGTGAAAAACACAGACAGTGCTTGGATGGGTATCATCAATGGAAGTGAAGCCTCAAGCCAAGTTTCCAGTGTCAGTAACAAGACAATCCTGAAGGTGGTGCTCCAGGCAACCAACCCCTCTGCATTGCTCCAGGCCCCAGGGAACCATTTTCCTAATTTTGTATTAACTCTATCCTGTATTACCTGATGCTCTAGAGAATGCACTCATGTAACTACTCTCATTATGATACACCCTCATAATTCTGTTTGCGTTTCCTACATGTGTCTGCCTAGAGAAGAAGAATATGATGGTTATATAGGTGCAATTTTTACTTATATCTTATATCCATTTTCATACATTGGTCTTATGAGCTCGGTTTCTGTGAGTCCACCCCGAGAGATGGATATGCTCTCCATTTGCTGATGAAATCAGTTTCTTAGCCTGCAGTGCTGCAAATCAAACTCTGGACTGTAGCATATTCACCCAAGTAATGCAACTTCCCGAGGCCTCTTGGAAACTAGCCAAATAAATGACTCTCTAGGCAGCGCCCCTCTCCACTGATGGGAGGCCAAGTAAGCTATTTTCTCTATTTAAAAATTTCTACCCTTTGAAGTAATATTATAGTTTACTCAAGAACACCAATTTCAATACAGTAAAACCAACAATGTCAAGTACAATCATAGACCTATATCAGATGCTCTGCCTGAGTATCTTATAAACATGACAGCTAAAGAAAGTCATAATTTTTTTAAAGAGAGAGTTTCACTTAAAACAAAGTAGGGAGGGAACTATTATAGGTTAAAAGAAATTTAGGCGACACCTTGTTTAGATCCCTTTTTTTTTTTTTTTCTTTTTGAGACAGAGTCTCACTTGAATACAGTGGCATCATGATAGCTCAACACCACACCGGGCTAATATTTTCCTTGTAAAGACTAGGTTTCGCTCTTGCTCAGGCTAGTCTGAAACTCCTTACCTCAAGTGATCCTCCTGCCTTGGCCTCCCAGAATGCTAGGATTACAGGCGTGAACCACCTAGATCCTATTCAAACTGTGGGAGGCAGAATAATAGCCCCTGAAAGATGTCCAAGAACTAATCCCCAGAACCTGTGAATATGTTATTTGACATGGTAAAAGAGACTTTGTAGAGTGATTAAGTTAAGGGCCTTGAACCGCAGAAAGTATCCTGGGCTCTCCAGGTGGGTCCAATATAACCAGAGAATCCTTCCCAGCTGGGGTCACAGGGAGACGTGACCACAGAAGGGTTGGAAAGATGCAACATTGCTAACTTTGAAGAAAAGGACCATGAGCCAAGAAATGTAGCCTCTAGAAGCTGGAAAAGGCAAGTATACAGGTTCTCTCCTACAACATGCAAAAGGGAAGACAACTGTGTCAGCACCTTGATTTTAGCCCAGTGAGGCTAGGGTCAGACTTCTTACCTAGAGAACTGGCTAGATAATAAATTTGTGTTGTCACTAAATGAGCAGTAATTTGTTACAGCAGCAATAGAAAACTGATATACAAACTCAAAAGAGGTATGTTGAGAAATCAGGAAGATTTAAACAGGCATTGGGTGTTAGATGGAATATTGAGGAATTAGTGTTAATTTTTGATAGGATGTGATAACAGTATTTGGGTTACCACTTTGTTTGAAATACCTACTGAAGTATTTATAGATGAAATAGTACAATGATGTCTGGGCTTTGCTTTCAAATGATACTGCTCCCCCCTTAAAAAAGGTAGAGAAATAGATAAAACAAATTGCCAAAAAGTTGGTTACTTCTTAAAGCTGGGAGGTATTTACACCATTCTATTTTTTGGTTATGCTCAAGATTTTCCATAGTAAGTTTAAAAAAAAATGAGGCCGGGCGCGGTGGCTCACGCCTGTAATCCTAGCACTCTGGGAGGCTGAGGCGGGCAGATTGTTTGAGCTCAGGAGTTCGAGACCAGCCTGAGCAAGAGCAAGACCCCGTCTCTACCAAAAATAGAAAGAAATTAATTGGACAGCTAAAAATATATACAAAAAAAATTAGCCGGGCATGGTGGCGCATGCCTGTAGTCCCAGCTACTCGGGAGGCTGAAGCAGAAGGATTGCTTGAGCCCAGGAGTTTGAGGTTGCTGTGAGTGGGGCTGATGCCACGGCACTCACTCTAGCCAGGGCAACAAAGCAAGACTCTATCTCAAAAAAAAAAAAAAATTAGGAGAGAGCACCTATACACTCCAGATCAGCACTTTCCAAAAGAATTTCCTGTGATGAAGAAAATGTTCTCTGTCAACAACGTCCGATGCTGTAGCCACTAGCCATGGGACTATTGAGCACTTAAAATACAGCAAGTGTTTGGGAAGCTGACGCAGGACGATCACTTGAGGCCAGGAGCTCGAAACCAGCCTGAACAACATAGCAAGACCTCATCTCTACAAAAATTAAGAAAAATTAGCCAGGTATGGTGGCAAGTGCCTGTAGGCCTAGCTACTCTGGAGGCTGGGGCAAGAGGATCACTTGAGACCAGGAGTTCAAGGTTGCAGTGAACTATGATCACACCACTGTACTTCAGCCAAGGCAACAGAGCGAAACCTTGTCTCAAAAAAATGTATACACACACACACACACAGCAAGTGCAACTGAGGAACTGATTTCTTAATTTTAATTAAATTTAAATAGCCACATGTGGCTACTGGCTACCATATTATACAGTGCAGCTCTATTTATTGAAAGACAGCCATGCTGTCTCACTATCAGAATTCAAAGTTAGTTAAGTTCATGAATCAAGTCAGTCTTCCCAGCCTCCCTTTCTCCTACGTAGCAGTATCCAGCTTTCTGCTCCCACCTCCCAATCCAAGCCTTTCTTTACCACAGAGCGGGGGCATGAGATCCAGGATATAGTACAATTCCTTCCTGGCCACAGTCAAGAAGAAAGTGACCAGTGCCAGGACAATGATAACCCTTGTCTGGAATTTTCTGTATTAGAAAGTGAAGCAGCTCCTTCAATGTGGAGTTTTAAGGATGGAATCCTAGAACTGCTGGCCATCACGTTCCTTTGCCATACTGAGAGAGTAAAACCAAAATTAGGATAAAAGATGGGGAGATAAAAAGTCTTGATTCTCAAGTACTTAGATCCAGTCAGCCCTGAAGTCAGCTTCATCCCTTCTTTCCCATGTTTCAGTTAGGTGAGCCAATAAATTCCTTTTTTGCTTATGCTAGTTTTAAGTTCTATCACTTACAACCTAAAAAAGTGTTAACACAAAATCCCATAAAAAACTTTTTAAATTTGAGGGTCATTAGAATAGTAAGATACTCAACATGACTGAGACATGATTCAAGTTAGTCAGTGTATTTATAGCACCCCTCTCCGCACAGGGTAATTAAATACAGACTAATGGTACCCGGTATATAACTCCCCTAGTGCCAGTTACTACCATTTCCTTTCTCAGAGTGAAGCAGGCCCCAATTAGCAAAAATAGTGATATATTAATATTTTATTATTCTACTCCCATTCTTTATTTTGGTTTAGACTACGATAGCTTTTCAACTGGCTGTTGCTTTTTTAAATAACAAAAACATCACTCTAGATATGCACTGAATCTCATTATCAATTCAGGAGCATTGCAAGAATAAGAAAAAAGTTTTTAGTGAGATTAAGCAGCTAGAATTATCATATTATCAGTAATGAGCATAATATTCTGGGAGGAAAAAAGGTTATAAATCACTGTCAAATTCAAGCAGTAACCTGTTTAATTTTTCATACTTTATTCCTTGTATTAATAGGTTAAAAAAGTAAAATTTTCCCAAGCACTGACTTATAGGTAATATTTATAAGTGGCACACAAGAAGTTCAGTTTCACAAAGAGTAACAGTGATCTATTTAAATGCAATTTTAATCCTTATTTTAAACTAAGTGCAATAATAATTTAGTACAATAAGCTACATACACACAAAACCTGTGTATCCTGAACTACAAAAGTAGTTTCCATCTGGTTCTGCTTCTGTGATTGGTGAAATAAAAAAAAAAAAAAAAGACAAAAGTAGTTTCCACAGACACATACAGTTTTCATCAAGTACACATTTCCACAATGAACAAGTACTTACAAATATGTTAATAAAACACTATCCTGAATGCTTATCTTGCCATCAATGCCATTCAATTTTTAAGCAGACCATTCTTGCTACTGAAAGCATTTATTTTTAGAAGCTTTAATCTGATCTGGGAAAATGAGTTATCCCAAAACTTAACAAATAGTATAAGCCCCAAAAGGTTTAAATCAAAAAAGCCTTCCAACACAGAAGCATTCACATGAAACTTTCAGTTTCTCCAAAAAAAAATAAAATCATTCTTGTTATCTGAACAAAAGAATATTAAAACAAATTATCTTTTAAAACAAACATTCTTACAAAAAACCTTTATTTTCCTGTATCAGCTCCTTAAAAGAAACACAAAAAAGTTCACTATAATAACCTCTCAGACTACTTTTGTATAAAAACTTCAGAATACATAAAGCACGTTTCAGCTACCACAGAGTCAAAGATGGCATTTAAATTTCATATGTTAAACAGCTATAGTATAGCTTACAAGGGCACAAATATACCTAACACATAAATACTATTTCATCCTTTAGATAGTGACAAGTCAGAAGGAACTGCATGGTTTGCAAGGTACTTTAACTTATGTGTGGTCATTAAAACCAAATAAGTAATTCAAGTATGGTCATATAAAGGCAGGCAATTAATCCAATATCACTCTAAAATCAAAGGCATGAAAATAAAGGCGGAAAACTCTGTGTTTCTCCACCTTTCATTTACATAGGTAGGTATCAGGACCTTACTGTAGAAAATATACAATTATTATATACATTTTCCCTAGAACATAATGGAGTTTCAGTTACTACAAAAGGTGTCAAGATCCATAGTTTGCTTCATCAAATGCTTTTCTAGCTCGTTTCAATTCTTCATTCATAGTAAGCAAGTCTTTAACCCTAGCAAACTTCCTTGGGTCCTTTCGAATCAAGAAGACGATATCTTCAACTTGTACTCGACCTTGTCTTCCAATGGACATTGCCTTGTGAGTCTATTACGAAGAAACATATTCAATTCAATTTTTTTAAATCTAATATTTTACCATTTTAATTTGCATTTATTAATTGCTGGTTGATGTTGAAGATTTTCTCTTCTAATTATTATAGCTATTCATATGTGAACTTTCTATTCATGTCCTCTGACCATTTTCTACTAGGCTATCAGCAATGTTTCTCCTTATGCTTCATAGGCACTTTTTAAAAAAAATATTAAAGACATTAAAACCATCAAATTTGTTGACATTCCTTTTTTGTTTTGTTTTTTTTTTTGAGACAGAATCTGGCTCTGTTGCCCGGGCTAGAGTGCCGTGGTGTCAGCCTAGCTCACAGCAACCTCAAACTCCTGGGCTCAAGCGATCCTCCTGCCTCAGCCTCCTGAGTAGCTGGGACTACAGGCATGTGCCACCATGCCCGGCTAATTTTTTTTATATATATTTATGTGTGCATCTAATTTTCTTTCTATTTTTTAGTAGAGACAGGGTCTCGCTCTTGTTCAGGCTGGTCTTGAACTCCTGACCTTGAGTGATGCACCCGCCTCGGCCTCCCAGAGTGCTAGGATTACAGGCAAGAGCCACCGTGCCCGGCCTTGTTTTTTTGATATATGTAGTTTCTGTCTTCCTTTGTATAAAGTAATTTTATAATTTCTTTGTAACCACCCATTCCATTTATGCTTTGAGTCCTCCTCCATCTCAATAGCCAATAAATATTAGTGAGTTTTCTTAAAATTAAATAAATAAACCTCATCCATTACATATACTTATCCTGTGCAAAAACAAAGATTTATCATAGCATTACTTCTAATGACTAAAATATGGAAACTAAATATTTAATAATAAGGCATTGAGTAAATAAATTTGACTATATATGATCAATATTAACCCATTAAAAATACTGTACAATACTATGCAATGACATGGAAGAAATGTTCAAGACTGTCCTAAGGGAAAAAGCAGGTTCTAAGACTATAGGATTCCAATTCTATAAAGAGATTAAAAATATGTGCAAAAAGACAAAATGATACTCACCAAAATTTTAGCATTAGTTGTCTCTAACTGGAAGGATTATAGATTTCTATTTTCTTTGCTGTACTTTTTTATACTTTTTAGATTATATTAATCAATATTAAATACTTTTGTGAATAGAAAAAAATTTTTTTTAAATGCATCATACTCTCTGACCCAGTAATTTTACTTCTATTCTGTAGTAAGGAAACAATCCAAAACACAGTGTGAAAATTTCTAAGTACTAAACACAACCAAACTCTGAAATACCATCCCTGTGAATATATCCAACAAAAGGAGAGAGGGGAAATTTCATTAATATGATTATTCAACATTAACTATTCAGATAAAAGTAAAAGAACACGGAAATAACTTATATAATAAGGAAATGGTTACGTTAGAAAAAAATCTGAGTAAATTTTAGATAGCTACTAAAATAATTATGATTAGAACACAAGAAATATGTATTATAAAACTTTGAGTAAAAAGAATGTTACTATGATCACTACTATGTAAAACATTATGTATCTTTAAGTAAACACTGCAAAAGGAGGGGAAGGCTGGGCACAGTGGCTCACACCTGTAATCCTAGCATTCTGGGAGGCTGAGGCAGGATTCCTTGAGCTCAGGAGTTCGAGACCAGCCTAAGCAAGAGTGAGACCTCATCTCTACTAAAAATAGTAAAAATTAGCCGAGTGTGGTGGTGCATGCTTGTAGTCCCAGCTACTCGGGAGGCTGAGGCAAGAGGATCGCTTGAGCCCAGGAGTTTGAGGTTGCTGTGAGCTAGGCTGACGCCATGGTATTCTAGTCCCAGTGATGGAGAGACTGTCTCAAAAGAAAAAAAGGAGGGAAAAAAACTATGTTGGATAATGGGATTGTGGATAATATATTTATTTTATTCAAGGATTTTATGTCTTTATAAATAAAATTCAGGAGTCAGGGATAGAATATACAAGTATAATCTCCATCCCTACTGATAAATAGTAACCAGTAACTTCCACAAATAAGCACTCAAATGGATAGCTTATTTCAAAAAGATGCCATAGTTTTAGTCTTATCTACAGCTTAGAATTTCAAATCTATTCTTCAGTTAACTAAGACCAATTACAAAAGAATCTTACCATTTCAGTGATGAACTCTATGACAAGGTCTTCAAGAATGTCTACTGACTCAGTATAAGGATTCTGGTCATCTCCAAAGCCATACATCATACATCTTACTATAAAAAAAATCGTTTTTGTTTAGTTGAACAGATTTAACAATCTGACCAATACTTTTAAAAAATAAACTAGAAATGAACCAAGTCATAGATGATATTGGTATAAAAACATATTTACATTACATTTGTCATCTCCAAGTATGAATTTTGGCATAAAAGGTTTAACTGTCTTATGACCAACTGTTCCCACCTAGCCTCCAACAAAACTCTACTTCCTTCAACTACTGAACCCTAACATCAACATTCTTTTCCTAATCTCTACCATCTACTCGCCAAAAACTCCAGAATACATTTAAGTAGGAGACTCTGTGGCAGGGACAGGATGGGTAGCAATGGCTTAGCCTTTTCTGGGAGGTGCTTTTTGTGTGTGGGCACAGCAGAGGGGCATTGGAAAAGAGAAGGCAGAATCCTTTTTGATATTACCATAGGGGAAAGGACATGAGAGAAAGTGTTCCAATTACCTTCTTACAGGAAAAAAACAGTATTCAAAAGGAAAAAGCAGAAGGCTTCTTCAAAGAATTTTGACATTTCATTTCCTATAATAGATCAATGCAACTGCCAGCAAAGCCCTTTCAGGTGTCATATGAAGGAACCATAGAAAATGCAAAAGAGAAAAAGTCTAATACATAGCAATAAAAATAACTACTAAGAGCTACAACTTCTTAACTGTTATTATATGCCAGGTACTATTTTAAGTCCTTTATATATATAAATCATTTAATCCTCACAACAATTCTTTGAGGTAGACACTATTATTATCCCCATTCTATAGATGAGAAAATTGAGGCACTGAGTTCAGTGATTTTCCCAAGGTCACACAGCTAAGAAATGGAACCTAAATTTGAACTCAGGTGATTTGTTTCCAGAGTCTTCACTCCTACCCACAACAGCATTTCTTTTTTTCTCTTTTTATTCTTTTCTTCTTTAATGTCACAAACTATATACCTTGTTAGGAACATTGAATATGAAGCAAACCATGATAAGAAATATCAACTAAAAAGCCAAATATATAGATTCACTCTGGAGTTTAGTATGACCACTTAGATTACTGGCTTTTTATTTATTTATTTACTTTTTATAAGCATCAGTTTATGTATCTATGAGTGATAGAAACCTAATGTACATGAGCAGGATGCTGTTAATTAATAATTTAATGGATCAACCCCACACTGACATTTTGATTCTTAACCTGTATTTAACTATAAATACAGGTTAAGTGGTCCTGCTCTCACTAGGACCTCTTCATATATCAAAATTTTCTTGTTAAGCTAAGTGATGCACTTCTTATGTTTTCCCAGGGTTATTGTTTTATTTTTTCAGTTCAGCATATTACAGGGCCACAACAGTATTTCACTTGGTAGTTTAGGACAGATGGGATCCATACGGATTCTTATCCTATAATCTACAAACTCCCATTTTGTCCACAGACAAGCTTAGAAGTCCTTGAGTCTTTCCTGAAATTATATAGAAAAATTTTATACGTTATCTGTATGTGTACATTTTTCTGGGAAGAAAAATTATAACTTTTATCAGATTCTCAAAGGGGTATGTAAATGTTAAGAAATGCTGTCAAATGATGGAAATGTTTTGTATCTCCATCTTAGTGGTGGTTACAAGTATGTGTGTATATATACACATATAGTTGTCTCTTGATATCCACGGCAGCTTGGTTCTAGGACCTCTCATAGATACCAAAGTCTGCAGATGTTCAAGTCCCTGACATACTGATAAAATGGCAAAGTATTTGCATATAACGTATGCACATCCTATGCGTATTTGAAATCGTCTCTAGATTATTTATAATACTTCATACAATATAAATGCTATGTAAATAGTTATTGTATTGTTTAGGAAAGAATGACAAGGAAAAAAAAGTGTGTACATCTTCAATACCGATGCAGTTTTTTTCCCAAAATATTTTCTATGGGAGGTTGGTTAAATCCATGGATGTAGAACCCATGGATATAGAGGGTCTTCTGTATAGCATATGTAAAATTCAGCAAGCTGTTCATGTAAGACTTGTATAATTTCTTGTACTTAAGTTTTACATTTTTTAAAAAGAAAGAAATTCCTAGAACACTTGCAAAAGAAGGAAAGAGTACATTAAGACTAATTCCTATTTAGGAAAAGTAAAAACTAGAAGTGAAAAGACGATAAAATAGACCAAGCCTACAGAAGAAAAGGGTGACTTGGATATCAGCCTGGGATAGAAGTATCCCTAGAGCTTACACAGGCAAGAGCCTTTAGTTCCAGAAACAGAAGGTAAAAAACAAGCACAGGAGCCAATATTTTCTTTCTTTTTTGGATTCTAAAATTATTTTTTTGCCTTTTTTCTTTTTTAGATAATTTTAGACTTACACATGAGTTGCAAAAATAGTACAGAGCTCCCATATGCCCTATATCCAGCTTCCCCTTATGTTAACATCTTATATAACCATAGGCATTTTTCAAAACTAAGAAATTAACATTGGTACAAGTACAGACCTTGTTCAAATTTTACCAGTTTTTCCACCAATGTCCTTTTTCTGATTCAGGATCACACACTATTTAGTTGTCATGCCTCCTTAGTTTCCTCCAACCTCTGACAGTTACTCATCTCTTTCCTGTCCATCAGGACCTTGACACTTTTGAATACTGGTCAGTTATCTTGAAGACTGTCCCTCAATTTGGGTTTGTTTGATGTTTTCTCATGATTAGACTGAAGTTATACATTACTATAATAGAAAGGATACAAAGAAGGTGATGTGTCCTCTTAATGCATCATCTTGGCGGAACGTGATATCAATATACTGTATACTACTGGTGATGCTAACTTAGATCACTTGGCTATTGTAGTGTCTGCCAGAATTCTCCACTGTAAGCTTACTGTTAAATATTCTGAGGAAGATATTTTGTCATTAACATTTTGATAGGTAGAATTCACCAGTAGAAAAATATATTTCATTGGCAAAGGGACACTTATTATATAGGAATTATGTAAACTGTATTTGGTTAAAGGATTTGTAAAAGCATAAGCAAAAGCCAGTGAATGCTTTGATATTCTATGTTACATTAACAACAAAAAGATTTTTTTTTAAAAAAGGGTTTAGGAGAACAGATCTTTAAGATATATGAAGATTCAGGTAAGATAAGGAGAAGACTGTGAAGATTCCAAATTCCTGTCATCACAGAAATAAAATATTCCAAATGGAACTAACAACCAACTGAGTAAGCATCACTGTGGGATGCTTTGGTATAGAGATCGCCTTTTTATGCTGACCACATACAAATGAAGTAAATAGCATCAAATGGAATAAGGAGTGGTCAGTTTTAGGCGAGGAATTGAGATATGGAAAAAGATCTAGATGGTTTAAAAAAAACAAAACAAAACACTGACCCTGTAGTTGCAAGGGCATTTGCGAACTGCTCACAGATGGCCCAGCCTAAATAAAGCAGGTACTCATAAATCTGTGTTGCCTCATTTCTCAATACTCAGCCATAACTATAAAGGACACAGGACTGGGAGATGGAATGCACAGTCTCACGGTGTCTTTCAGGGGTTGGCCTGGACCACCAGTAGTAGCAGCAGCTTTCCCTCTTACTAACTACTGCCAAAAAGGGTCAAACCTGTCTACTGAGGGATAAGGACAGAGGACCAATACATTATAACCTCCATGCCATTTTAATGCCTCACACTGTTCACCACCTTCTTGGTTTGTTCACTGTCTTAATCCAAAGCCCCAACTTAGTTCCTTCTTTCAGCACCTATTCCTGGACCCATCATTACCTGTTGCTTAAAATCAAATGAGTCCCTCCTTCTACCGCTGACAGGTTAGGGGACAGGAAAACTAATGGAGGTATGTTATTCTGCCCTGAATTAAAACACTGATCACATTTTCTCACTAAATATATATATATATATATATAAATAATTTTGTACACATATATAAAACTGGGGTTAGGATCATTACTATCTGATTCAAAAGTTAAACAGAATTTTATAGGCAAGTCTGAGAACATTGTCCCTACAGGGAAACATTCAGAACAATAAATCCTCTTTGAAAGGACATATCCAAAAGTTTTCATCATCTGTAATAAAATCATTGTCAAACACAACTTACATTCTTTAGAAAAAAGTCTCTTTCTTTTACCCTGTCCACCTTCTGCACCTCCTCCAATTTCTTCATTTTCTTCCTCAAACTAGAAGTTAAAATGTATACATAGAAATGTCAACTGATTGTACTGCATGTGACATTTTAATAATTAATTTTTTTTCATTTTCAACACTGATATCAAGCCAGAAAGCCTAAGGCTAGCAGCAACAAAACACGAATCCTTAGCACTGAAGGGGCCTTAAAGACTATCTAGTCCAACTTCGAACTCATGCAGCAATGGCTTCTACAAGATCCCTAAGAAATAATCCCACAGCGTCTATGTTTAAGAGTTCTAATGAACCACGAGTTTTGTTTGTTTGTTTTTTTTAACCAACTAAGTTGGCCTGCTGCTAGACAGCGTTACTGCTAAAGAGTTGCATCAAGGTCTACCTTCCTGTAGTAAGCAAAATCAGTATTTACAAAACCGACGCTCAGAGTTAAGTACATTGCTCATGGAGAATGGAGATTTTGAAATCCAGGCTCCATGACTTTTGATCCATTATTTTTCCACTACTACACAGTAAGTATACAGTTTTGTTACCAGTTGAACTGTTGGTTCGTACTAAGCACTGATAAATACTAGGTTTGACCTCTAATGATTCTTTAGTGTTTGAAAGCGTGTGTGGCAAATATAGACTAAAGATGAAGGGAAAGGGGTCACCCTCCTACTCTTCCTTCACGTCTTGCCCCGCGTACTAAAATGATGAATCCAAAGGGAAAAGCGTCCCGAACTCTGTGGGATGATTTCATTAAAGAAAACAGATCCCCCTCAGTAGCTCGGCCACCGCTACTGAGCCCGAGGGAGTGAAGAAATGAGAGGGTTGGGACAGAGATAGTTACTCACGGTGGGGTCTTCCTCCTCATCAGCCATCCCACCAGCCCGCAAGCCTACAGCGCCCCAGCGGCTCGCTTCCAGTGGATTTTACTACTTCCGCTGCCTCACTTCCGGTGACGCGCCGGGCCGGGGCGGGGCCTAGTCGGGCCACCTCCTGCGGTGGAGGAGCCGGTGCATCTGCCTAGCGGCGGAACCAAGGTAGTCCCCAGGGAGGGAGGGTTGAGATTGCCTCTGTGATCCCGAAGAAGGAATTTAAAATTAACAAAGAAAAGGAAGTCACAGGGTAGCGGCGTGTATCTTGTCACCCCAAGTTTGGTCCTGCGTGTTGAATCATGGCTTCCAGATTCCGGACTACGAAGCTATGGATCATAGGGGGTCAGGCTGGCGGTTGTCGGTCTGACTGAAAGTGTTATTTAGTTTCAAAGATTTACAGTTCCACTGTTTATTTCCAAGCACTGTGTTAATTATTGGGGGATACTGTGCTTCACTACTAGTTTCCAAGAGAGCAGTGTCCCTGGACTGAGAAGATTTAAAATTTTGTCGGTAAGGTTTTTGGTCAGAACAATGATTGGGAAAACCATGAGCGTTAGAAGACTGGAGCTAGGGATGCAAAATGTCCTGCAATGTAACAGATGATGCCACACAACGAAAATCCCATAATACACACGATTTCTGAATGTCTTGCTGAAAATTCAGTGAGTGAAAAGGATAATTGTCTCTGAGACTCGAACCTATCTTTGTTAACATACAAACACAAAGCATCTTCCCCATGCTTTTAATGTACGTTGAATTTTCTAGGAACAAATATTGTACTTTATTTTGTTTGGAACTCATTAAGAGCTTTGGACTGTTTCAGGAAATAATGTCGCTAACTCACCCCAGTCAGTCTGCATTCCTAGCTCGTGCATTCAAGGTGAGTCTACATATACAGGTACAAGCATCAAAAATCTTCATTATACCTCCTAGTGTTCATGCTTAAGCATGTACATGTTAAAACATAGGTTATTGTCTTTATTTTACCTTAGGGCATTATATATTAGGTAAGTATATTATTTGTTGCTGTATAACAAATTACCCCAAAACAATGGCTTCAAACAAACATTTATCACACAGTTTCTGTCTGTGTGTCAGCAATCTGGGTGCAGTTTAGCTGGGTGCCTCTGGCTCAAGGTGCCTCATGTTGCAGTCAGGATGCTGGCTGGAGCTGCAGACATATCTGAAGTGTTGATGGTGGAGGATCCATTTCCAGAATCACTCACTCGGTGTTAGCAGGATTCAGTTCCTTCAGGATATTGGACTAAGGGCCTCAGTTCTTTACTTACTGTGGCCCAGAAGCCTCCCTCAGTTCCTTGCCACATAGTCCTTTTCTTCTCCTTAGGACAGCCCACAACATGGCAGTTGCCTTCCTCCAGAGGAGACAAATGAGAGAACCCAAAAGATAGAAGTCACAGTTTTTTTGTAACCTAATTTTGGAAATGACATACTATTATTTCTACCCTGTTCTTTTCAGGAAGTGCAGCCCACACTCGAGGGGAGATTACATAAGGATGAGAATATTAGGACAGGGAGATCATCAGGGGCTGTCTGAAAGGCCACCTACCAGAGTAAATTATATTATCTGTGAATTTCACTTCAGAATAATGAAGAAGACATTATATTTGTTATTTAAGAGGCGTTGTTGGGTCTGATAAGGTTAAGAACTGCTGTTAAGCAATGATCAAATGCTGGGGCTCGAGTATAAAACATTCACAGGGTCCATTATCAGAGGAGTAGACAGGTAAAATGTGCTGGACCCACACACACCAAGGAGTACTATGCAGCAATCAGAAGCAATGGACTGGCAACATGGACAGAACTTAAAAACAGTGTTAAGTAAAAAAAAATAAGAAACAATGAGACCTACAACACAATACCATTTATGTAAATTAAAAATACACACAAAACAATATATTTTACAGGACCATATTTTAAAAGCATAGGCATTAAATATATTGGAAATGTTGCAGTGTAGGAGAAATGGGAATAGGGATAAAGGGAATAAATAAATAAAAAGTGAGGATCTTTGGAAGGATCAGTTGCAATAGTATACCATGAACTGTGGAGTAGAAATAATTCAATCTTCTGAACCTGAGATCCAAAATATAAAGTAGAAAAAAAATTGTAATGAGCAGAGCAGAGACAAAGCACAGAGAGTGAAAAGGCGTGGGGCGCTTCTACAAGATGTTCCAGGTGGGTTGCCAGAACCAAGTTTGTTGGGTGGGGATGCAGGAAATGAGGCTGGAATGGAGTGTGAAAGGCCTTAAATGTTCTCTTCAGAGCCTGAACTTGAAACTGCAAAGTTCTTGGGAGGTCTTTAAGCAAAGGAGTCACATGACTGTCTTTTAAAAAAAGATCACTTTAGCAGGGAAGTTTCCTGCTAAATACTAACTACCTAGGATGAGAGATGATTATAATCTGAATTAAGGCAAAGCAGAAGAAGAAGAAAAAGGAAAGGAACTGATTTAAGAGAAACTTTAGGAGATCCAGTTTATAGGACTTTGTGACAATGAATCTGAGAGCGATGAACAGAGAGGTTTATATCCAGATGCATTGAATGCTATTAATATAAATAAGAAAGAAAAAGGGGAAAGCAGTTGGGGATGTAAAGAAATGAGTTAAGTCTGACTTTGAGACTCTAGATATGTTCTGCAGACTGATGGAAGTACAGGCCTGGAAATCCACAAGAAATTAGGACGAGAGAAAATGATACAGGAGACATCAACATAAAGGTGGTATTTTAAAGACTACATGTGAACAAAAGCAAGAGAGAAGGGAGGCAAAGAGCAGAGCCTTACAAACAGTATATCAAGGAGACAGAAAAGAAGGAATGGCCTAAGAAGTGGTAAAGATAAAAGAAGGATGAAGTGGAGGAGGAAAGGGAGGAGGAGAATAATATACTTTGGGGTTGGGCGCGGTGGCTCATGCCTGTAATCCTAGCACTCTGGGAGGCTGAGGCAGGAGGACTGCTTGAGCCAGGAGTCAGAGACCAGCCTGAGCAAGAGCGAGACCCTGTCTCTACTAAAAATAGAAAAAATTAGCTGGGCACATGCCTGTAGGTCCAGCTACTTGGGCGGCTGAGGCAGGAGGATCACCTGAGACCAGGAGTTTGAGGTCGCAGAGCTATGA